GGGGGGGATGTATGGCCCAATATTCTAATATTTCCTGCTCATATTGTATTGGCAATAGGTACACCACCCAGGGACAACTGAGGATGTTTCACAGCCCAAGACTGACAATGATGACACTCACTTCATTAGATTAATAGAAGCTGAATGACTAGCAATTGACTATTTTGCCACAGCTGGCAAATGAGATAAGCTCCTATGTCTGAGAGCACCAGGCATTTCATCCCCCAGACAGCAGTTGTGTCCTGAGATTTTGCCTCCTTTTGCTTTATGGCAGATCTGGCCCTGATATTCTTGGTGTTCCAAGTCATCTGGACCATGCAAAGATATTTGTAGAGAGCCTAGGCCTTGCTGCTCTTCACTGTAATATCTTGTAGCTTGGTTTACCCTAAAGGTCTCACTCCCAATAGGTAGAAACTAACAATAAGAGCAGCAGTTTATTCAGTCTTGTGATGATTGTGATATGGGATAGTAAAGTACAGGAATAGTTTGGTATGTTCTTTGGGTCAAGAACAAAAATATACACAGTGAATGGAAAAATTCATAATCCAACATATGTGGAACTTTTCCATTAATAAAACTACACATAAAGAGAAAAAAACCTTGTGCCATAGTATTCTTTAACATAACATAGATTTAGATTTCATTACCTTTAGACTAGGAAACATTTACCATGATTCAATTTACCACAGTTTTAAGAAATTGATAAAGAGTACATGTATGAAGTGGCTAGCTGCTATGATTAAGGAGCACTAACACCAGTGTTTATAGGAAACCTTTATTGTAAGAACTCCCTTAGTGATAGGAAAGCTCTCAAAGGATGTTATGCCAAGCTAAGCGTGGAACAGGACTATAAATTTTACTTTTGGAGCAATGAAAGAGCAAAAAGGAGGTGGGAAGAAGAGGTGAAGTATTCTCTGAGAATATCAGTTTAAAAGATGTTAGGATTATTGGATAAGACATGAGATTTTAGGTCACTAAAACACTCATTAGCCCTATCACTATTGCTCTCTCTAAGACATATTTAATACTTTAAACTCTGAGTGTTGTTGCGTTTTGAACAGAAATAAATTAAAAATAAATTCAATGCACTCCTATGTTTAATTACTTTTGACCATATTGGCAAAGGGAGAGAGAGAGAGACAGAGAGAGAGAGGAATCATTCTGTTTGAAAATGCTGTAGGAAAAAACAATGATTTAGAACAGTGGTTCCCAAATGTCGGTTCTGGACTTCAGCTTCCAGAATTCCTGACTGCTGGACAAGCTGGCTTGGGTTTCTGGAAGATGAAATCCCAAACACCTGAAGAACCAAACTTTGGGAATCACTGCTTTAGAACACACAATAAATAATACTGAATATGTCCATTACATGTTCACTGTTCACCTTGAGAGAGTAAAGACAGCCCAAAAGAAATTTGTGCTGTGTAAATTCAGGAAACTGAGGGCCCGTGAAGTATATGGTAAATGTTAATTTGACAGGTAATCAATCAAAATAAACAAACAAAAATTTTGGATCATTTCTGCAGCTAGCAAACATTTTAGCATTAGCAACCACTAGATGTTACCCCTGTTCCAAATAATATATGGGGAAATACAAATGCAAATCCAGAAACAAAGTGCAAACCATTACATTTGGATTAATTGTTCATTTGTTAACAAGTTATTTATTTTCTTTAATGTGTATTTGTCAAGCACTAAGCCTTTAGACTAAGTATAGCTTCTTAAAACAGCAGAGTTTATGCCTGATAACCTATCAAACACTGATAGCAGGAAATGTATTTTAATGAAATTTCCCTACAGCAAATAACTCCACAGAAAGAATAGTATGTGATCTCTGAGGCCCAGTTTCTGTTATCTCCTGTCAAATGTCTGGCAGATTATTTTCTTTCTAGGCTTTATTTGCTTGCATTCTTGTACCCTTGAGACCAAGTAGCCACTGTGAAATGATCGATGCAGGCTGATTCTTCATGCCAGATGCTGGAATGATGTGATGGCAAGTGCTGCTTATTATGTTCACAGAAGGGATAAGCCATCATGATAGATGCTCTTTTAAATGGAGAAATGCACATTTGTTAAATATGAAAGAAAGAATCAGAAGAGCTCTGTTTGCATTTAATAGGATTTTAATAACCATGAATTAAAATTAATTAGAGAATAATTATTTCTGAATTGAAAGTTTGTTTATTTTGGATCTTTCTGTTTTACTTTTACTTTTATTTTTTAAAAAGGTGGCTGATCAAAAATACCAGGTAAAAAAGGAGGGGCATCCCAAAGGATTGTAGGGACAATAAAATCTATCGTAGAGTCCCAGGTTTTCCCCACTCCTGCCATGTTCCGTGAGCATCCTTTATTTCCCATAATGCAAACCAAGTGATATGGAAAGAATATTCATGATTGTACATTACTAGGTCAAAAAACAGCCTTGGGAAAGGTGAATCTATCATGGGCTTTTCTCGACAAAATTATTTTAGAGGAGCTTTGCCATTACCTTCCTCTGAGGCTGAGCATGTGAATTACCCAAGATCATACAGTGGTCATGGCCAAG